TCTTACTTACATTTAGGATCACCTTTGGCCCATCAGGCAGATTTCTACACAATCCCCTTTCAGGCAAACCCATAGACTCACTAGATGAAAGGTTAGAAGCCACACACAAGTTTAGGAATTTTTTCCTTCTTGCTACAAGTTTCCACACCATCAGTAGGTAACACAATTAAATCATCCTTCGGCCCTCCTTGTGCCCTGGCTAGGATATCACCCTGATCAGACAGAGTTGCTACACCCTTTTCCAACCACACATAAGCAACAGGTAAAATACAAGCACCAGAATTGTCTGGTCTCTGGGATTCTGCTAAGACACTAACTGGATGCAACCTAATTACAGTGCCATTCTCCCCAGCACACACAAACTTAGGACCATTCCCTTCCTGGGCTTTAGTTGAATCCAGAACCAACTCTGAGACAACTACACTATTTTCAACTAACACAGGCTGAAAGGCACCTTCTGTCTGCTGCACAGATAAAGAAGAGCTGGAGACACCTTCTTCCTTACCAGACATACATCTTTCTTGCACAGACAAACAGCTATTACCCACCAAAAATCTACCCTTTCCTTCCTCAGTTAGGGCTTCAACCTGACCATCCACTTTAATCTGCTCCAGAGAAACATTTTCCTGATTTATGAGATCTTTCTGTGCTTGATCTAATTCCAGATTCACTTCTGAGACATTAGACAGACATTCAGAAACTCCATTCACAGACACACTGCTTTCTTGCACAGACAAACAGCTATTACCCCCCCCCCCCAGGTTAGAATCCCCCTCTCCATGGTCATAGCAAAACTGGTTAAACACAGAAAACTGCCCAGAGTAATACCACATATCAACATAGTTATAAACTGGATTTTTAAGAGGATACAGTTTCTGCTGTTCTTCCATTGCTTTTTTGACTTGGAGCTGGAGTTTAGCTGTCTCCTGTTGCATCTGTCGAGCTTTCTCCTCATCAGCCAGAAGCTCCAGATGCCCCTTACGTGCTTTTTCTTCTCTCTTAGCAGCTTCTTTCTTTAGCTGGGCCAAGGCTTGCTTCTCTTTCATTCAAATTTCTGCCAGTTTTTGCTCATGTTCAAATTGCAGGCTCTCCATCAGGGCTTGCAGTTTTATTGCTTCTGCTGTTGCTTTTTGGCTCATGGTCACTGATCTTTAACCAATAAACTCTCAATCCCAAAATTCAAATTTGGATAGCGTGGGGTTCTGACCCAAAACTTAATTGACTTGGTTCTGTGGATCCTAGCACGACTACGCCACTGTAACTATGCGGTTCTGGCAGGACCCAACAGAGAGTGCCAATTCAGGACAAATTGCTTAAACAGGGCAGTTACAGCCCAAGGCTGGGGTTTTTCCACCTCTAAGGCAAACCCAACCAGCCAGACTAAGAGGACTTTGGTCTCACCCCACTGGCTAACCACAAGTCACACAAGCAATTCCCTTAGACTCTCCAGTTTTCCAGTATCACTACCAGTGCCACTCGTTATGGGAACAAATGGTTATGAAAACCAATACCCCAATAAAAGAAAAAGGGTTCTCCTGATCCCAAAGGATCAAGCCCCAGACCCAGGTCAATATACAAATTAGATCTTACCCACAAATCACGCTTTAGAATCTAAAATCTAAAGGTTTATTCACAAAAGGAAAAAGATACAGATGAGAGCTAGAATTGGTTAAAT